CAGCCGGCTCCCCCAATGCAGAGGTAGCGGCGCGGGGTGACAGCCGGCTCCCCTGGAGCAGAGCTGCTGTGTCTGATACAGAGGTACCAGCGTGGGGTGACAGCCGGCTCCCCCAGTGCAGAGGTAGCGGCGTGGGGTGGCAGCGGGGGACCCCAGAGCGGAGCTACTGTGTCTGATACAGAGGTACCAGTGTGAGGTGGCAGCCAGCTCCCCCAGAGTGGAGCGAGAACCTGGGCAGAGCCGTGAACGTTAACCAAAATGTGCAGGGTTATTTGTTAACCGTAAACTTTACATGGTTAAACGGTCACATCCCTAGGGCAGGTGGTGCAATCCCTGTGATGCGCGGGGGTGTGTGTGTGTGTGTGTGTGTGTGTGTGTGTGTGTGTGTGTGCTGCATCGTAGTGCATGGCTGCTTAAGCTGGTCCAGAATCTGCTCCCATTCCCTAATTGTTGGTTTCTAGCCCTGGGGCAGTTCAGGGAGGAGAGGAAGACTTGCAGCTTGTGTTGGGCGTGGGGAGTTTGTTTCCCTATCTGTTCAAGGGCCCCTGGTATCTTACACAGCAGTCCCAGGCTTCCTGCTGCAGGAAAGGGCCATGACTCTAATAACTCAGGTCCCTGCTTTGTTCTGCTTGTGGGAGGATGCATTCATTTCTATCTATGAGGCGAATGTCCTGTCATGAAAGAAGGAGGGCTGACATCTACCCAGATAGAAGCAGTATTTGTCTTATATGCTTGGACAGTGCTTGGTGTGCATGTGGAATCATAGCTATCGGACTGTTGTGTTGAAAGCTTCTCCACTTGATAGATGCAGGTAACCTTCCTCCAAGTCACTTTCCTAATTAGAAAACCTTAAACAACGAATAGTCTAGTAGCACTTTAAAGACTAACAAAACATGTAGATGGTATCATGAGCTTTCGTGGGCACAACCCAATTCAAACCTTCATCCATTTGCAAATATTTTCTCCCTTTGTCAGAGGTGTTCCTGTGTTGTAGCACACTGGGAGACCGGCCAACTTCAGATGGTGCAAGCAAGGTGGATTTGTTTACAGGTGCAGAGGGGTGTGTGTGTGTGTGTGTGTGTGTGTGTGTGTGTGTGTGGGAGTGTGTGTGGTTGGTATAACTTCTGTGGTCAGAAGGTGTAAATTGGAGAATTTCAATTCACACCTTGCAGTCACTTTTGTGTTATCCCTTTGCCATGCCATACGTCAGAAGCTTGAATCTGAGGACCCAATCCAGAGATTGTGTCGAAGCGGGTGGAGGGGTGGAACAGCTTTCATGTGAGGACAGATTAAGACAACCAGGACTGTACAGTTTAGAAGAGAGACTTCTAAGTATGGCTCTGATAGAGGTCTATAATCATGACTGAGGTGGAGAAAGTGAATAAGGAAGGGTTACTTACCCTTGGGGTAACCCATGAAGCAGGTATCAATGAAATTTATAGGCTGAATATTTAAAACAAAAGGAAATGTGGAAGTCAACTTGTGGAACTCATTGCTAGGGGAAATTGTGATGGCAAAAGTATAATGGGGTTCAAAAAAAGAATTAGACCAGCTTGTGGAAGATAAGTCCATCAATGGCTATTAGCCAAGAGAGTTGGGGCCATGCTTTGGGTAGCCCTAAACTTCTGACAGTTGGAAGCTGGGACTGGATGGTAGGGGGATGGATCATGTGATAAATTGCCCTGTTCTGTTCATTCCCTCTGAAGCACCTGACACTGGCTGCTACTGGAAGACAGGATACTGGGCTGCGTGGACCGTTTGTCTGACCCCGTATGTTCGTTCTTACAGTCTAAAGCCGTGGTGTCCAATGTGCTTGCTATCATGTCTGTTGCTTCAGAACTGGTTGGACGCCACGGTTCTAAAGGGTCTGGGTTACGTGTAGGAAAGTGAGAGTTTCAAGTCCAGCTGTTGTAATGCATATGCAGAGTGGATTAGAAGCAGGTGCGATCTAAAGAGGTATGCCCTCCCTCTGTATGAACCAGAGTTGGCCCCGAGTGTATGCACTTAAACGTAGGCGAGGGAGGGTTCTTGCCTTTCCTATGCAGTTCCACATACAGAGAAGCTGGGCAGTCCCAGACCTTGTGTGGAAGTAAGGCAATGCCAGACACTTGGTTGGCTTCCCCTGGGTTGAAGGGAAGCCGTCAAGAAGCCGTGGAGCTGTGTAGCTACAGGAGAATAGAGCAGTGGCCCTTCAAAACTGGATTGAGATGGCTCTTTGGAGGTGGAAGCGGGTGCGTCTGAGTCCGGTTCTGGAGGGTGCAGTGTTCCTAAGGAAGAATCAAACTCCCCTCCCTTCACCCAGCAGACCAAGGAGCAAGCATCGGCGGGGGAGAAGGAGGGTTGGAAGTGTAGTGAGCAGAGAGCATATGGCTAGGCTAGGGGAGGTCCCCTTAGAGAGAACTGGCTTCCCATCAGAAGCAAGAGCTTCCTCAACTGGTTCAGCTTCATTCTTTCTCTTCCTGGTCACTGGGGTGTAAGCCGACACTGCACAGCGAGAGGAAAGGGAGCTGACCTCTTTGCATGGCACTCCTGGGCTTATGCAAAACAGCCTCCACTGCTCTGGCCTGGGTCCTTTCCCGCATCTGAGTGTGACCGTTCCATCTTCAAGTGGTGGCCTTTCTCAGCAACCAAAGTTTGGAGCAGGGGCCCTGGCAGTGAATGTCAGGGAGGATACTGGAATAGGTGGGACCGCCACGAACAAAAGAGCCTTCTGGGGCAGCTGCGCTAACGAGAGAGCTCATCAAACTCCTCAGAAGGAAAGACTCAACGTTCCTCTGTCTGGGTGCATGATTGGCATCTTAGTGTTAGTCGGAGCAAAGATCGGTCCGGACCATCTCCGGATCACCTGAGGCCAAGACGAATACTCCTGAATATAGAACAAAAAGGGAAAATGCTTGTCCCTCTGCACACCTGCCTTAGGACACCTAAGTAATTTAGAAAAGCCAATTCTAAACAAACAATCTAAGCAACTTCCATCCTCTCCCAGCCTGGCCAGTGCTCCAGCTGGCCTAGGAGCTGCTGCTGTTGATTTTCCTCAGATTTAGGACTTTAGGCAGCCATCAGACCAGAGCTTCTCTGTGAGGGAAAGTGCCACCTTGGAGTTGAAAAGGAGAGACCAGATGAGGGCATCCCCAAAGCCTGCTGATTGTGGGAGAGTTGAGGGTGTTTATTCAGCCCTTGGGAGCCCAAACCTTATGCTGCAGTAAATGTGGAAATGGCCAGCCTAGTTGTGATTTAGAGAGAGCCCAGATCTACATCCTGCTTCTTAGATCAAATCCCCGTAGCTGATACGGACTCGGAGCAAGGTGTGAGTTGGAGGATTACATTCTGAGTAGGACAGTGGGCATGGAGTAGGAAATGAATCGGCGTGTACAAGCATGTTGCTGGCAGGGAGACTGGCGTTACTTTGCTTGTTCCTGGATGCTCGATCTAAGTGCCGGTCGCTGGGGTACGAGGCTTGCCAGGATAACCAGCAAACTGCAAGTTGTGAAGTAAGAAGTGCACCTCGAGGGTCCAATCCCTGACAGGGCAGAGAGATGGCTTCAGTCAGGCTTGGTAGTTCAGATAACCCACTTACGCTCCCTATTGCTTTTGTTCTTATTGCTGCTCTTTGTTGCTTTCCTTTTAGCACCCAGATTCTAGCTTCTTGCATGTTTGTAGAGCAAGGCTGTTTAAAGGAACAGGGACAGTTTAAAATTCACGTTACGTTTCTTACGAACCTAAATAAAGGGCATCTTGGGTTATTAAAAACGGAGTTTTAACTGGTTTTCAATGTTGTTTTGCTTGAACAATGGCCAGTTGATCAGTTTCACTTGCCAGTTCTCACATGCATTAGCACAGTACTGGGAACCAAAGGGTGATGCTTTTTAAACGTTCCTGGCAGCGTTACTAGTGATCTCAGAATCTTGTAAAAATCTTTCTCTTTTTAATGAAGAAACAAAATATTGAAGCCAAATCCTTTGTCTTTGACACCGCCCTTTTGCAGTGGAAATGGTGGGCCTTTTAAAAACTACTACAGCACACTTAATAGACTGAGAAGGGGACTAAGGAACCAGCAAAGATGAGTTCTGTAGTAGAAGTGTCTCTTTAGAGTGCTGAGGTTTGTTTGACCTTTCGTTAAAGAGGTGGTTTACAAAATGGGGTGAGAATTTTTTTCACACCTGGTAAGTTACAATCTAACAATGCAACCTATTTTTGCTTAGTGTCTTCAATACGGAAGATGTACTTGTCTATCTAGGGCAGTTAACGAATGACTTGCTCTGTCTTGACTTGTGTTCTCGAGTTCATTCATAGGTAGGACCACACTAAATTCACGGTCCATTTTGATCAATGTCATGGGCATAGGATTTAAAAAAAAGTCATGATTTCAGCTGTTAAAATCTGATATTTCACCTTGATGTAATTGTAAGGGTCCTGACCCCCAAAAGAAGTGGTGTATGTGGCAAGGTTAACGTAGGGGGGTGGTAGTACTGCCACCTTTCTGCACAGCTGCTGGCAGTGCTGCCTTCAGAGCTGGGCAGCGGTGGCTGATGGCCAGAATCCCAGTTCTGCAGGCAGACCTGCTGCCAGCAGCAGAGCAGAAGCACAGATGGCAGGATAGGATACTGCCACCCTTAGTTCTATGCCGCCCTGAAGGCAAAGCAGAAGTAAAGGGGACTCCCTCACCCCTTCAGCTCTTTTGATCAGGGCTCTCAATCTGAGAAATGCTAGCCTCCCCATGAAATCTATGTGATATAGGGTAAACGCACCCACAAGGTCCGGGATTCGTTTTTCGTGGCCGTGAGTTTGTTAGGGCCCTTTTCATAGGCAAAGCCGAAGCCCCGGGTTGGCTTTCTTTTATATTTCAAAACAAAACTTTAACCCCCCCTACCCTAAACACGTTTGAGCTGGAACGGAATGAGATTCGAGACCGCCTTCCCGGAGTCCTGGCCACCTGCTCCCACGGAATCTCTGAAGTCCAGCCCAGCTGTAGCCATAACAACCGAGTGTGATGTCATCTCGGAGGCAGGAAGGTCACTCCGGCAGCATCGGGAATGTGAACTTCCTGCAGGCAGTGGGGAAAATGCACCCCGGGAGAAAGCAGGGGTCCAGACGAGGAAATGAGCCAGCAAGGCTCGGCGTGAGCCAGGCAGGGACGGCGCTCGCGCTGCTCTCAATAGCCGTGTCTGCTTGCTGTCGTGTGCCACGCAGCCCCCGGGAGCCTGCTCCTGCCATGGGGGAGGGATGATTCCGAAGGCTCTTGCTTGGTGCTTTGCTGCGGTGATTCTGCTGGGCTGAGCTGGGACAGGAAGTGACCTAGATATGGGCCTAGATTTACAGAAATCGTGCTCGTGGCAGCTTATAGAGGGGCCTGCTCTTTTTGTTCGTTTGCCTTCTCTGGGCTCAGAGGGGAGTCTCGTAGGCCAGGTCCTCACCTCCATGGAGCTGGGGAGGGGTGTGGGGCTCAGACTCTTGGGCAGGTGCCAGCAGGGAGGAGCAGTGCTATAGCTCTGAACTCCAGTCCATCCTGCTCTTCCCTCCGTCGGCCCCCTCGGTCTGGACGCAGGCAGGAAATGCCAAGCGCGCTGGTGGAATGACTCAGCCACTGGATGGTTCCACCGAGGCTCATTAAGGCCACGTGCAGGGAGCCAGGAGCTCCCAAACACGGAACCTTGTGTATTGGGCACTGGGCGGGCCGGCTCCTAGGCCAGGGCAGGATGCCGGGATCCTGCTGTTGTGACTAATGCACGGAGCACCGGGGACTCCCTGCAGCCTCGCTTTGAGGTGGGCCCCACGGCCGCAGTGAGGGGCAGTCGGACGACTGGGGGGTCAAGGCGTTATTGCTTCGTACAAATCCCCAGTGGGTTACGGGACCCCAGGCACTTGGCTGGACTAACTTGCTAACTTGCCCCCAGCTCTGAGGAGTCCAGCGGCTGCCAGGGGAGGGCCGGCAGGTCGTGAGAAAAGCCATGTCGGAGGCTATGGACCTGTCCTTCCTGTCGGAGGCTGAGAGGGAGGTGATCCTGCAAGTCCTGCAGCGAGATGAAGAGCTCCGCAAAGCGGAAGAGAAAAGGATCAGGTGAGAGCCTTCCCCTGGCAGGCCCTGCTGCCTTACAGGCAAAACCCGCCAGGCCAGCATGTAGCAGGGTGGGGACGGGTCTTTCTGCCCTGCTGGTGTTGTGCCCTGCCCTTCCTGGAGGGGGAAATGGGTGGTGGTAGCTGCCCAGGCATCACTGCCCTGTTCGGACCCGCTTGGAGGGGCAGCCTCGACTCCGCTCCCAGGCCTGCGTGTGGGTTTAGCGGCTCCCGGGCGTGTGTCCCCGACAGGCGGCTGAAGAACGAGCTGCTGGAGATCCGGCGCAAAGGGGCCAAGCGAGGCAGCCAGCGCTACAGCGAGCGGACCTGTGCCCGCTGCCAGCAGAGCTTGGGCCGGGTGAGCCCCAAGGCCAACACCTGCCGCGGCTGCAACCACCTGGTGTGTCGGGACTGTCGCTCCTACAGCGTCAACAGCACCTGGCGCTGCAAAGTCTGCACCAAGGAAGCGTGAGTGTGTGTCTGCCACAGTCCTGGTGCCCTCCTGCTCCCGTGCACAGCAGGGCTCTTGCAAAGTCCGCTGGCTTCCTCTGCCATCCCGAAAGCCCATCCGTCCGTCTCTTCTGCTGAGCGGGGTTGTCTGGCTTGTCTTCTGCTGCAGCTGACCCCCTGGGCTCCAGCCTTCCTCTTTCCCCCCCGCTCAGGTCCAGCCTCTGCTGCTACAAATCTTCCTTTCCAACGCCCCTCATCCCTGCTCGCAGCAGGCAAACTATCGGTGGTGAAAAAGAGCCCTCTCTGTTCCCTTCCCCTTCCATGTGTCCTTGGCTCCCCTTGTCCCTCTCCCACTGTGGTTCTGCAGCGTCTCTCCTACTGCCGCTGGCTCTGGAGGAGCTTCCTGCTGCCGATGCACCAAGCATCCTGTGTCTTTCCCTTGCTGGCGGCCTTTCGGAGCCTGGGTATGCCCAGGGCTATCCTGTCAGCTCTTCGGGGCTGGGATCTTGTCTTGCTGTGCTTCTGAATCCGGAAATTGCCATGCTCGCCTACGGTGCCCCACCAGCGGGGGGGGGGGGGGGAGAGGCTGACCTTGTGGAGGGCGAGAATGGCCTCTCACTGCCTCTTTCCCCTGCAGGGAGCTGAAGAAGACAACCGGCGACTGGTTCTATGACCAGAGAGTCAATCGCTTTGCAAACAGGCTGGGGAGCGACCTCGTGCGAATGTCCCTTCGGCGCAAGCCTCCAGGTAGGACCCAGCTGCGCTCTGGGTGGGGAGCCAGGAGGAACACCTCTGGGACGTGCCTTTTTTTTGGTGGCCTACGTGCAGAGCCCTGGTTCACCCCTCGGGGGCCCTCGAGGTCGGAGGCAGGCACTGGTGTTCTCCTTCGTAAGGGTGTCCAAGTGCTTGAATAGGGAAATAAGGCCCCCCCGGTCTCTGCAGGCTGCCCCACTGGGCTGCTGCTCTGCCGTCTCGGTCGCCTTGGCATTGTGGGTTTGTTTTTCTTCCAGCCAACAAAAGGGAAACAGTGGGGCAAACCCTCCTGCAGCAGGCACAGCCGAGCGAGCCGAAAGACTCCACCGTGGCAGAGCAGAAGAGTCCCCAGGAGCGACAGAAGGAGCCCAGGTGAGCCTTGCATCCCCCCTGCGTGTGTCCTTGCTCGGAGCCAGCTCCACCCTCCCTGCATTCGCCTCGGATCTCTTGGGGAAGCCGTGACCTGCGTGGGCAGAGCAGGGGGCTTGGAGAAGATGCCATCTCAAGGGCGGAGAGCTGGTAATAGCAGAGGGCACAGCCTCGTGTTTGGCATGTGCCGCCAGGCCAGCCCCCAAAGCTTGGGTGGAGCCGGGGTTGTGGGAAAGCGGCGACCCTCCCTGCAGCACTCGGTGCTTGCTCCTGAATAGCTGGAGGGGCAGGGAGATGCCCTGCTGGGGTATTTGCGCTGGCACTGCCGGCAGGGCTTGGCGCCCTGCACCACGCAGCCTCCTGGGGAGAGACAGCAGGTGCGTGTGCATGGGGCTGCCGGCGATTGGGGCTCTGCGACAGCCGGTGAGTTCCTGACCCGCGAACTGCTCTCCCTGAAGAGCCAGAGACGGGTTTGCCAGAGTGACCGCTAGCACGAGCAGGTGACTGCGCTGTAAGGTTACAACATGCTGTGGAACCCCCGGCGTACTCGGAGCCTGGCTGCTGAATGCTCGAGCCGACGCCTGCGGGTCTCCAGGACGTGGCAGGCAGATTGGGGAAGAGCCCGTCCTCGCTTAAAACTGGGTCACTTGAGTTGCCCCCAGCTTTACACAGGGAACCCCCAACAGGGTGGAGTCCCAATTGCCCTGGCCTGGCGTGGGTCTGGTACAGACCCTGGTGGGCAGCCAGGAAATCACGTCGGGGGGGATGTAAGAATGGCCAAGAGCCAGGAACTGCGGAAGGGAGGAACGGGTGCTGCTGCTCCTGCCCCATTCCTTCAGCCAGAGGCCCCGGGGTGATGCCCTCCCCTTGCTAGGGTGATGCTTTGGGGCCTGTGGGTGGCACGGCTGTGCGGGTCCACGGGCTTTGTGTGAGGTTCTGCCTCTTGGGTCCGTTCAGCTGGTCGCTGCAGTTGGAACGCTACCAGCCCTTTGGCAACGGGGCTCTAGGCCATGCTGGAATCTGTTGTCCCGAAAGAGGAGCCCGGGGAGGAGGGTGTTAACCCAGCCCGTGGTGCTTTCTGGCTCCTGGGCAGCTCAGTTGGGCTGTGGCATGAAGCTGTAAACGACAGGAGCTGACCAGTAATGCTGCCTGGCTTATGGGGCCCATATGCAGCTAAAATAGAGCAGGCCTTTTTAAAGCGCCCTCAGCTTGTTGATGCTTCTTGCCGGGCTGCTTCCTGGTGCTCTTAGCTGAGGAGACTCTGCCGTTGGGTGATCCAGCCTTCCAGTGGAGTTTCCCAGAGAGCCTCAAGAGGTCTCCACGCCAATCCACGAGCAACGTGCTTAGGCAGGTCTGATCTGAGCAAACCCACGAATCAAGCGGCTCTGTGTACCTTAAACCCATCTCCTGCCCTTATCGATGAAACAGCGGTGTTCAGGGCTGGTGTCTTCCTCTAGGCCCTGGGTAGCTAAGTTCAGTGCTGCCCAGGGGCCCCCAAGGCCCTTGTTGCTATAACAGCATAGTGGTGGACACTCTGGTTCTCCCTGCCTCTCGGGAGGGCTTGGCCTCCTGCGTCACAGTCTGGAACTGCCCTTCCTCCTGTCGGGACAGACCTGTTTGTTTTCTCTCTCCCCCCCACCCCAGCATGCCCCCTGAAGCCTTGGACCCACGAGACGGGAGGAGTGATACCGAGTCCATGGAGAACATGAGTCTGGATGGGTACAGACCCCATGTCAGCTCCAGGTTAGAGACTGATTCCTGGGCTCTGAAACAGTCAGATCCTCGGCGCTTCCTGTCCTGCTTTCGTCTCCTGCTCCCCTGCCTTGAGGCAATGGTTCAAAGGGCAGAGGGAGGGTCCTTTGGACACCGGGAGCAGGAGGAAAAGGGCAGGCTTGAGGGATGCTTCTGAGGTGAACGGGGACTTCGTCTCCACTCCCCGAGAACGCTTATCTGAGACACTGACGGGGAGATGGCTCCAGAGGTTCCCCCCCTTCCAGCAAATGCAGCTGCCTTCCAAAGCCTGGCCCCTTTGAACCCAGGGCTGCTCTGCTCTGTGTGCACAGAGCAGGCTGGTGTCCAGCTGCTTGTAAAATCCTGACACGTCCCAGGAGGCTGGGCGCCACGAGCGGGGCTAGGCACCAAGCTGCTGCCACCCAAGCAGTAGTTAGCTCTGAGCTGGCTGTGGTGCAGAGGACAGGCCGAGCGGCAAGTGCGGAAGGCAGCTCTGGGAAGAGGGGTTGGGCTGTTTGGTTTTAAATCTGGCCCTGCGTGGCCAGGGGTTCCCCTGCTCAGCCCGTTAGCATGGGGCTCTAGTGAGCTGTGACACTCAGTCACTCACAGGGCCGTGTGGTGCTTGTTGAGAGAGACAAGTGATCTGTGGTGCGGGGCCTGGCTCTCCCCTCCCCCACGAAGAGCTCTCCGGCCGATGGAGACAGGGCAAGTCTGACTTCCCCCCTGTCCGCAGGAGAAACTCCCTGGAGAAAACCGTCACTTTCCAAGAGGGGAAGCAAAGGCCAGGTCCCGTGGGCACCAAAGGATCCACCCTGCCCATCCCCAGCCGCTCCCGAGACGCTCATCTCTCCGGCTCAGAAAGCGTATGTGTCCACTGTGGCGTCGGGGGCTGCTAGACACACACTGCTTCCTCCTCTCTGACCAGTCCGTTTTCCTTCCTAGGAAGCTCGTGTGGGGAGTCCCGGGGCGGCATCCGCAGATGAGAATGAAACCGTCTTTAAGAAGAATCCCAAGAGAATCCTGAGGCCTTCAGGTGAGTCGCCCTCTGAGGGAAACCAACACGGGGCCGAGTCGGGCAGCCGTGGTTCTGTTCCTGCCTCTGCTGCTGGCCTGCTGGGTGACCTTGGTCAAGTCACTTCACCCCACCTCGGTGCCTCTGCCCATAAACGGGAAATGGGAATGCTGGCCCGCTTCCGGGCGTGCTGTGAAGAGCGAGCCAGCACTAGCTGCATCCGTAGCAGCCTGCGTATGCTGCATGATGGGCTGGGATTGGCAGCGGCTCGCCCTCCTGTCTCCGACACAGAGTACACCAAGTCCGTCATCGACCTGCGCCCGGAGGACGTGGGAAGTGAAAGCGGCTCCTTGGGAGACAGAAGCAAGTCGGTCCCAGGTCTCAACACTGAAGTGGTGAGAACCGATTGAGCTGCCTCGAATCCGCTCATTTGCTTTACACAGAGAGGCTTCTCCTTTGCACCCCCCCCCATTTTCTGAGGCTCGTGGGATGGAAGGGGAGTTGCTCCCCACCTAGCCCCCCCACCAGTACAGCTCGTTGTGAAGCACAGACCCTGCTGCGGGTCTCGAGCGAGAGCCCCTTGTCCGAATGAGCCCTCGGCGGAGAGCTCTGCTCTCTGAGGCTGTGGGGAAGGAACTCCGTCAAGGGCTGCCGGCCCTGCTCCCAGGGAAACTGTGCTGCGGGGCCGGCAGCCCCTGCTGGCTCGGCTTCCGGGGAGCCAGTGTGTAACTTGGGACAGGAGGCCGGGTGAGCCAGCCACAGAAAGGGGCTGCTCTTCACAGCTGGAGCAGCCCCCTGCCCGGGGTAGGCCCTGCGGGCCTGGGGCAGCCCCTACGGTTAACCAGACAGATGCTTATTGGTCAACCGTTTACATCCCTAGTCAGGGGGTGGCGCTCCTCTGTGCTGGCTTGCTGCCCGGGCATCTTCCCCCGGTCTGAGGGGAATGTACCTGAGAGGAGTTTGCGTTGGGAGACCCACCCCCCTTCCCGGGTTTTAGAGTCTGGGCCCAGGCCGAGCCCGTAGCCTGCCCGGCTCTCTTTAGCCCTGCGGCAGGGAGTGCCTGGAGTGGGCAGGGCTGCTTCTGGGGGGTCTAGGTGCCTGTTTCTCCGGCTGGTACGTGTGGCCATGTCCCTGTTGCAGGAGGAGGAGGAGGACATCGACAACCTGGTGGAGATCCATCGCCGGAGGACGGCCAGAGGCAGCATGCGCAGTGGCACCTCTTCGGTGAGTCCCTCCATTACTCCCTCCCCCCAGGCCTGCTGGAGGAAATGCTTGAGAGAGGACTGGGGTTTGGGAGCAGAGAGGCAGCGCTGTCTTATGGTTAGAGCACAGGGGCAGGCAGAGCTAGGGACCAAGCCAAGCTCTGCCTGGGACTGGCAGCTTGAGCTTCTCCCTCTGGCTCGCAAGGGGTTGTGAGGCGTCTGGGAAGTGCTCGGTGCCTTTCACCCCCTGGCGAACCGGTTGATGTCCCGTGGCCGGGAGGGCAGACGTGGGTGGAGGAATTGGAGACGCCCTGGTTCTCCGTGCCCCCAAGGGGCACAAACCTTACCAGGGCCGTGTGTTTCAGAGCACGCTGGGGAGCATGGTCAGCATCTACAGCGAGGCCGGGGACTACGGCAACATCTGCGTCACGGGAGAGATCGCCTTCTCGCTGAGCTACGAGCACACGACGCAGACCCTCTTCATCCACGTGAAGGAGTGTCGCCAGCTGGCCTATGCTGACGAGGCCAAGAAGCGCTCCAACCCGTGAGTGCTGGCCTGCGGAGGGGGCTGCCTGACACAGGTGCCCCCCTTGCAGCGGGGCCTGGACTCGTCCTGCGCTAGCTGCTGCCGTCTGGAGTGGCAGGGTAGCTCCTGTGCTGGGGTCTGAGCTGCCGTCCGGAGGCAGGCCTGGTGGTTGGGGAGGCGGGAGCTGCAGCACGTGCCAAGTCTGGGGCTAGGCCTGTGACCCGGGTGACGCTGCCTGCTCGCCTCCCCTAGATACGTCAAGACGTACCTCCTGCCTGACACCTCCCGGCAAGGCAAGCGCAAGACAACCATCAAACGCAACAGCATCAACCCTCTGTACAACGAGATGCTCAAGGTGAGCCCCTGGGGCGGGGGCCATTGGGACGTCCCACCCACCCCTGAGAGCCCCATCGCAGCTCCGCTGGGGAGGCAGGTGCTTCACCCAACTCGTAAGACCCAGGGCAGGCAGGCTGCTCCACCAGACACCCCACGCTTCATCACTGGTGGAGGGAAAACAGCCCCTTCCTCCTGGCCCCTCAGCTGGGGCCCCTGGCAGGGGAGGGCCGCTAATCTCCCATTCAGACCAGGACTCTAGAAATCCTGCAGGCAAGCGTAGAGCCCCCGGAGGCGCCAGGGACTGACCTAACTGACAGCATCTCCATGCAGGGCTCTCTAGTGAGGTCCTTGCGTTTTTTTGCAGCCCCTGTTGCCATGGTGACTTGGCCTTGCATTAAGTGAGAGCCCTGATCTGTGTAGGATGCTATGACCTCCCTGCAGGGGCGTCGCTCTCCTGTTCTGCTTGCTTCTCTTGTATCCTGCTGCCTCCCCAGAGGGGGAGCGGCTCCCCACTCACAACACCCTTCCCAGCTCTGAAAAGTTGCTTCCCGAAGCCCCCTCCGGGCCATGACGATATCACTGGAGGGCAGCAGTGTCACAGGAGCAAGGAGCCGGCTCAGTCCCAGCACTGTGGCTCCAGCAGGGACAATGCTGCCAGACGCATGCGTCGTTTCCTCGCTTCTGCTGCAGAGTCCGTGCTGCAGCGACCCAAGGAAATGCCACGCAGCCCCCTTCCCTGCTGTAAATGCACTGGGCACAAAGAGGAGAGGTTGGAAATTCAGAAAGGGGAACCAGCAAGCTCCGAGGGTTTCCAGAGCCTCCTGTTTCAGGAGCCTCCCCTCCAAATCTGTGAGCAACTCCACTCTGCTCTCCCGAGGCCAGGCCTATGCTCCCCTGCTTCCAGAGCTCTACCCGGTGGTGCTTCCCATTCCCCCAGGGGCCAGGGCTGCCCAGTGTAGTGCGACCTTAGAAGGGGTGTGCAGGCCCTGCTCCTCTGTGGTCTGGAGCCTACAGCAGATGAACACACCTGAAGCTGCCTGGGCAAAACAGGTAGTAGGATGGCTGGCCCACTTGTGCCTTCAGCCAGGTCCCTGCTAGGGGGCAATGTTGAACTAAGAACACGACTACCAAAGCTGGAGTTGGACCTTAGCTCGACTTACCACCGTGTCCCCACTGCAGGGGGGGTCAATGGGAGAAACTCTCCCATCAACTCCCCTTACTCCTCGTGAGCCGGTGAAGTACCGGAGTCGACAGGAGCAGGATCAGCGGATGATTGAGCGTGTCCTTATTAGACCTGCTAAATTGCCCAGCTCTTGGGGGTGAAACCCTGAAGAGAAAAGGAATGTGGCAATAGCCAGACATACCGGAGAGGCTCTCAGGAGGAAGTGGGAGAACTTCATTCTCCCTAGGAAAGACTAGGGCCATCTCCTCATGGTGCAGGCTTCAGATATGATCCTAGCTGCTCCTGGAAGCCACCCCTGACTCTCTGCTCCTGTCTTTTCACAGTATGAGATCAACAAATCCCTCCTGCTCTCCAGGATCTTGCAGTTCTCAGTGTGGCACCACGACCGCTTTGGCCGAAACACCTTCCTGGGGGAGGCAGAGATCCCCATGGGTTCCTGGAACTTTGAGAGCCAGCTGGAAGAATGCCTCCCCTTGCATGGCAAGGTAGGGCCCCTGCCGCTCTTGCAACTGACCTGCCCTAGGAATCCACCGCACCTCCTCCCAGCCAGGGAAGTGGCTCTGGAGCCAATGTGAACGTCTCCTACCCAGGGCTCTTCATTAGTCTGGCAAGGGCCTCTTGTTGTGGGAGATGCTGTCTTCCCTCTAACGTAATGGCACAAAGGGTACGTCTGCATCCACCCTGGGCTTGCATCGATGTACCTAGTTCTGCTCGGCTGGCGCAGACAGCAGGACCAGCTAGTCACCCGAGCACATACCCAGGGGACTCTGGCCCATCAGTCCGTACGTGGCAGTGACGCTTAGCAGGCAGCCTGCTTCCTATGAGGGTGGTGGGCACCTGCTTGTTTTATAAAGACAGACACGTGCCACATCTATCTTCAGAGATCTGGGTGTGATGAGCACGTCCACCAGACTGTCCATAGTCATATAAGTCTGGCGTTCTGGGTCTGCTTCGTGCGTCTGCTTGACGTGACAGCAGGGGAGTCCATGAACGTTCTTAAGGTGCCTCCGGCGTCTCCTGCTGAGAAGCTCCAAGACTGATGGCTTCTCCCATGGACCTCCGAGGACTTGATCCAACCCCTGTTGCAGGCAGGCGAGTGCCATTAGCCAAGCACTGTGGAACAGCTGCCGTCTTGGTAAACTCAGGTTTGCACGGGCAGTAGAGATGGCTGCGCTTCCGGCTGTCTGGGATTCTGCACGAGTACCACAGCTTGTCCTGGCTATCAATATAAGAAACCTGTCTCTATGTAAACACCTGAGGGTATGTCTAGACTACATGCCTCTGTCGGCAGAGGCATGTAAATTAGACATACCGACATAGTCAATGAAGCAGGGATTTAAATATTCCCCCACTTCATTAGAATAAAAATGGCCGCCACGTTGTGCCGGCATGAACCAGCAAGGAAAGCCTTTGCCGACCGATCCTTTATGCCTCGTGCAACAAGGTGTAAACACCTGAGGGTATGTCTAGACTACATGCCTCTGTCGGCAGAGGCATGTAAATTAGACATACCGACATAGTCAATGAAGCAGGGATTTAAATATTCCCCCACTTCATTAGAATAAAAATGGCCGCCACGTTGTGCCGGCATGAACCAGCAAGGAAAGCCTTTGCCGACCGATCCTTTATGCCTCGTGCAACAAGGTTTACAGGATTGGTCGGCAAAGGCTTTCCTTACCGACCGCCTTGACTGCCGGTTCATGCCGACAAACAGCTGAGCTGGCACAACGCAGCGGCCATTTTTATTCTAATGAAGCAGGGGATATTTAAATCCCCACTTCATTGACTATGTCGGTATATCTAATTTACATGCCTCTGATGACAGAGGCATGTACAGCCGCTCCCTGAGTTACGACCACCTCCACTTACGACCATCCGCATTTACGACCAAAGCGGTGGTAAATGCAGATCTGAGTTATGAACGGCGATCCACGCTTATGAACAGCGCGGTCGCCACGTACCTCTATGGGATCTGAGTTACGGACCAAGTGTTGGTCTATAAGTTGTTCGTAGCTTGGAGAGCAGCTGTAGTCTAGACATACCTTGAGTGTTTACATAGGGTTTGCACTGGCTAGGATGCCAGACTTGATTGTAAAAATCCAATTGAGTCCACACAAAGCAGCACAGACATGTAGCTAAACTGGCTTTAGAAGAATAAGCCCTTGATGTTGGGGGCGTGTTAGTGAATAGACGAGGCTGCAGTGGTAGGAATCTGAGATTTACTAGGGACGGGTGGCCCTAAAATACCTGATTCCCATTTTTCAGGATGGTGCTGGCTCCCAGCAGTACCGAGGGGAGTTGGTGGTTTCCATGAAGTACATCCCTTCCTCCAAACACCCTGGGGGCAACGGGAAAAAGGGTGAGTTGAGGTGAACTCGGCTCGTGGGGTAATGTGTAAACACAAGTGCAGAGGCTAATGCGTGCTGGCGTCCACTATGTAATCCAGTGTCCACACATCCGGAGCCCATCCAGGAATGGGGACTGCTTGTCGCGTTCTCGGGAGGAAGCCAATCCATCACTGGACCAAGCAGCTGTAACATTTTAACCATCCGCGCTGAAACGCGAGTGACCTCCAGCAGTGCTGCAAGGCGGGCTTTCCTTTAGGCAGATCCAGCCAGAATGGGAATGGGTAGAGCCCTGCGCAGGTACAGAATTTGCATCTGTATCTGTAAAAATGAGCCCTGGATATCCGCAGCCACAGGCGAGCGTAGCAGTGGCTGTACAGCTGCTATCCGCCGATTTGCAGGGCTCTTGATGCAAAACTTGTATCCGTGTCTGTATCTGCAAAAATGGGCCAGGGATGCGGATATTCATGGATTTACAGGGCTCTAGTGACGGGCTTCTCATGCAAGCTAGAGCGGGATTCCCGGAACTTCTGAGCGGAGAACTGCACTGGCAATCTGCATCCGTTTCCTGGCGCAGATCAGCTGCCCTTGTCTAATGCAGTGGGATAGTTCTCCTGAGGTCCAGGGCCCTGCCTGAATCAGGCCAGGGACTGATAAAACACAGCATGCTGGGACTGTACCTCTGTTACAGATGGGGATGTCAGAGGACCTGCTGTTCTGGCATTCATGAGCCGGCAGTTCTGTTTGTTTGTACGACCTTGCTGCTTAGATGCCCCAGTTGTGGGCCGGGACCTCATTTTCCCCACTGTGAGAGGTGCTGTACAAACACAAAACAGTCCCTGCCCAGAAGGGGTTGATGTAAGTATAAAACCAAGAGACAGTGGATGGACAGACAGCTGGAGTACAAGGTGGACAGCCGGTGGTCCTGGTGCACCAGCAGCCTAAACGGTGTCAGTGTTCTGTAGGCATCACGGCAAAGGAGAGCTAAGCGGGGTTTTGAAGGCTGACCATAACGGAGCTTTGCAGAGAGCACCGGCCAAGCACGAGGGGCGGCATAGGGTCAGGCACTTAGGGGCTTGTCTGCAGATGTAACCAGTCAGCAATGGAAGCTGGCAGCAGGGGCCCTGGGAGGGGAGGACCGATGGTTCGATAGCAAACGAGGGCTTGGCCGTGAAGAGTCTTGCAGCGTGTTGGATGCCAGGGGAGGGATACACAGAGGGGTCGCCCCCCACGATTGGAGAGAAGCTATGGCTGAAAACATGGGTGACTCAGACTTTCTCTTCTAGGCAAAGGGCAGGAAGGAGGTGAACTCCAGGTCTGGATCAAAGAGGCCAAGAACTTGATAGCTGCCAAATCTGGAGGGACCTCAGACAGCTTTGTCAAGGGGTGAGTGTCGGGACCATGCCCGTGAGAGGAGATGGACAGCGTCAACAAAACAGCCCTCGCCATCCGCCGGGGCCCTGGAGTGGATTGATGCCGGGGCATGGGAGTGCATGGGCTTTTCTGCCCTCCACCTCGTTCCCAGCTGTCTGGTGCTGGGACACAGGCTGTGTTAATGCTTAATGGGCTTGTGCTGAAAGGGGAGGGGTGTGGTGCAGCTCGGCTCTGTGCTTTCAGGAGGACGCTTCGGTTTGTCACCAAACAAAGCTCTGCTTGATTCACAAGCTTCCTCCCAGGGCCTGGCCAATTCCAGCTCTTGGGCCTGGACCCAAGTCACAAGCCAATAGACGCGCACAGCCTTCCAGTAGGGGAAGAGCTATTCCTGTGATGTGTCGGCCTCTAGCAAAGAGGAGAAGATGGACGGTGATCAAGTGCAGGTAGGGACGGAAGAGAAACAGGTCCCTTCGGTTACATCACAGGCAGGCAGACACATTGTAAGTGCTTGTGTACAAATCTAGACGTGTAAATGCTAAGATGGATGAACTGGAGGGTTGGTTATTGCATGAGGCTATTGCTATAATATGACAGAACCTGATGACAACGGGACACTGTATTTTGTACCTAGGTATATAAAGAAATGGGAGAATATGTAGTGCTAGGGAGTGGTATCAAATAGAGAGCATATCACATACAGCTGAATCCTGATTATCTGATCTCACCTAGGCCCAGGCCAGATGAGATGATCCAACATGTGGATAATTTGGAGAACACGAAAGTGCAAGGCTGCAGCGCCATCTAGCAGCCACAGAGGAGATGGCCTGTTTGTGGGTCTGTTTGGTGGCAGCTGATGTATTACCGAGAGACGGATAAGGGAGGGTTGGATAAATGTGGTTCTGTTGCATAGTCAGAAATATTAAGAGAATCCGACTGTACCGTGGAATATCAGTGGATAGAAATTCCACGCTTGAATAAGAGTAGCGTAGTAGGACCATACTGCCAATCACCTGATCCGAATGCTCAGGGAGATTAGAGAGACGATAAAAATAAATAGTTCGGTAATAACGGGAGATTTCCCCTTATTGATTGGGAAGAGGTCACCTGAGGACAGGATGCAATGGAAGTTTCTAGATGCCATTAATGACTGCTGCTTAGAGCAGCTAGTCTGGAACTCACAAGAGAAGAAGCAATTCTTGATTTAGTCCCAACAGGGGCAGATGACTGTTTTGCGGGGCCCCGGGCAGCATAACTCCGCGGGGCCCCCTCTTTGCCACGGCGCATGCGCGGGGCTTTTTTAAGCATGGGGCCCGGGGCGGCCGCCCCGTTCGCCCTGCTCTATATCCGCCCCTGAGTCCCAAGTAGAGCATGGGATCTGGTCCAAGAGGCGAATATATTGGAACCACTCAATAGTAATTAAATTTAACATTCAG